ATAACGAAACACACACAGTTGGGAGGACGCCAGAACCCAGATAGGACACGACAAAGATAAGGCCTGCTTTGCTTCCAGCAAGGTGCTGTGTGCAAACCCTCTCTTTATCCTGTTTCCCCAGCTGCAGCTAATGAAGGGAATCAGGGCCCTTTTCTCCCCCGTAACCCACATTGCTCCCTTATCCGTTCCACCCTGCGTGCCCTAGGATGAAGAGGGGGTGGACCTGGGTCTTCCTCTGAATGCCCAGCCAGACCGTGCCCTTCCCCAGCTTCCTCCACAGCCACCAGAACCACACTCCCCCTCCCTGTCAGCTGTTCGACCCCCACCCCCCTCGGAATCAGATTCCAACAGAGGCATGACAGTGGTGGGAAAGAGGAAAGGGGGGGAAATTAGGTTGGGGGACCCTCAAAACCCCAGAAGGAACAATCCTACCCATCCCTGGTCAGAAACCTAAAATACAGGTAGTCCTCGACTTACGACCACAACGGAGCCCGAAATTTCCCTTGTTAAGCGAGATGTTTAGTGAGTTTTGTCCCATTTTACGGCCTTCCTTGCCCCGGTTATTAAGCGAATCACTGAAGTTGATAAGTTAGGAGCTTGGTCGTTAAATGGATCTTGGCTTCCCTGTTGTCTTTGCTTGTCCGAAGGTCGCAAAAGGGGGAATCATGTGACTCCCGGGGCACCGCGATGGTCATAAATACGAGTCAGGGACCAATTTTGATCACGTGACTCTGAGGGAGGAAGCCGCCATGGTTCATAAACTGTGAAAAACGGTCCTGAGTCCCTTTTTTTCAGGCCCGTTGCAACTTGGAATGGTCGGTGAATGAACTGTTGTAAGTCGAGGACTAGCTGTCGTTGAGCTGCATGGTTGAGACGTACCTGTTAAGGGCATCGAAGTGGTGATCTGGTTCACAAACCGCGAGTATTCGGCGTGGACCTTAAAAGGAATTGCAGATTTGGTCATTAGGACCCAATTTAATCAATTTGGCACCCTGAAAATACGACCTACCCTAAAAGTAAGACCTAGCTTGATTTTTTTACACGTCCGCCCAATATAAGTCCTACCCCCCCCAAATAAGCCCTAATTAAGACCCCACCCACTCCAGAATGGACGGGTAAAAATTAAGCTAGGGTGTGTGTGTGTGTGTGTGTGTGTGTGTGTGTAGCTGCCCTACTGCTTACCTTTGGACAGGTATAGGCCAGTCCTCACACACCTGACACCTGCCTTGCCGGCCCATTTCTTCTGCAGCCCACAAGGCCTCTGTAGCTGATAACAAAACTCAGGATCGATCCAGAGCTCAGTTATGGGATGCAGAGGCCTTCAGGGATGCTTTGCTGGCTGCAGGAGAAGTTCCTGAAGGCCATGCAAGTGAGGTTAGTCAGTGGAGGACATCCCCCGAAAATAAGACCTGGTGCCTTTTTTTGGTGGCAAAAAATATAACACAGGGTCTTTTTGGGGGCGGGGGGGAGAAACATGGTAATTAAACTAATCCACTTATCAACGGAGGTTTTTCTAAAATGGTCTCCTGTTTGGGGGCAACATTTCATTTCTTAGTTACGGAATTATTTTACTTCCCAATCTGCCCTGAATATCTCTTATCTTATACTCGTTTTGGTCCTCGTTTAGCGACCATAATTGGGGCTTGGCAGCTTGCACGGCTACGAAGCACAGGCCGTCCTCAGCTCGTGACAAAAGGTGAGCCCGAAAAGCCTAGTCGCTGAGGGAAACCTTTGCTCTGTTTTACGACCGTTCTTGCCACAGAAGCGGTTAGGGGGAAATGAAGAAAAGGGGGGAGAGGCGGTTAAAAGTGAGTGAACGGGGTTTGTGATGAAGGGAACTTACGGTCTGTAGTAAGTTTTCACAAAGCTTTTTGGCTGCTGCCAGGCCTTCTGGCTTGGGGTGGCTGGAAGAGAAAGAAGGGAACGTTCAGCGTGAAGGATGGAGAGGCATTCTTCTTAAATTGGAGGAGTTTTAAGAATTTCAGGAACTTTAAAGCAGGAGGAAGCTCCTTGGCAGGTGGCGTAGCATTGTGTTCTATCTATCATCCTTATCTATCTATCTATCTATCTATCTATCTATCTATCTATTTGTCTATTATTCTCATATCTCTCTTATCTATCCACTCTATCATATCTAATTCTATCATTCTTATCTACTATTCTATCTTCTATATCATTCTGTCTGTATTTTCTTTCTTTCTTTCCTTTTCTTTCTTTCTCTTTTCTTTTTTTCTTTCTCATCTGTCTCTTCTCTATCTATCCACTATTATATAATTCTATTATTCTTATCTACCTACCTACCATTCTATCTTCTATATCATTCTCATCTGTCTGTCTCTATCAATCCACTCCATCATATCTACCTACCTATCATTCTATTTTCTCTATCATTCTCATGTCTCTATCGATCCACTCTATCATATCTATCTATCTATGACTTGCAGACTTCAACTTCCAGGGAATTCTGGGAGTTGAGGTCCACAAAAGTATCGCCCCCCCACCTCCCCACCAGACCTCTGATCTAAAGGAACCCGCCTCTTGCTCACCTGATGTATATGTACATGGGTTCAAAGGCTTCGCGGCCAGACGCGGGTTCGATGCAGCCAGAGCCCTTCCCCCGAAGGAACACCTTCGCCCCCGTTTCTATCTGGATGTGCTGCAGGTACGAGCAGCCCGGCCCTTCCACCTTGTCCTTGATGCTGAAGGTGGGCACGGCGTGTTCCAAGCCCACAAACAGCTTATCCTGGACATAGTGCATCTGTAAGACACACACACACACACACACACACAAATATCCAAAAGTTAACCCAGGAGGGAAGCCGTTGAGGCCTGCTCCCTTCTTTAAACGGCAGGCAGTCCTCGACTTTACGGCCGTTCCTTTTAGAGACCGGTTACGACAGCACTGGAAAAAAAAACACGATTCGCGGACAGGGATTCACACTTCCGAACAGGATCGACATTCGGCTGCTGGGCAGGCAGCGTGTCATTTACCCTCCGGCCCTTCTCCTCCGGGAGGGACTCCCGGTTTACCTTGAAGGAAACCTAGAGGGTGTTGTTGTTGGATGGCACAGTGAGGTCTCCGCTGTCTGGAAGCTGGACCACTCTCTCCATCGCATTTCTGTAAGAGGACGGTTTCGGCCTGGCCCTGGCTCAACGGACCAGGCTTTCTTAATCCTCTAGCCTAGGGCTCTCCAACTTTTGGCAGCTTTTAAAGACTCCCAGAATTCCCCCCGGCCAGTTCTAACGGTCAGGGAATTCCTCCTTAGTTCGAGGTTGCTTCTCTGCTTGTTGAGTTTCCATCCGTTGTTTCTTGTCCTACTGTCAACTCGTAAAGCATCCCTAATGCCTGTTTTCGAGTTGCCATAAACGTGTGTGTGTGTGTGTTGGAATCTGAAGGAGCAGCACGACAGTTTAAAACCAGAAGTACATTCCAACCCTTATCTTACAAAGATTGTAGCTAGGCTACCGGATCTTCTTCCCATGAAAATCCTTCATTGGAGAATGTGATTGATGACACCCAGCCCATGAACTATGCTTTGTTGGAGAATCTGATTTGTGACACACCCAGGGGGAAGGGGGAAAACAGAGTCACAGGGGACCGTCAATTACGTGTGGCAAGAGTTGGCTTCATATGGGTCAATGCTGACATGTTGCTCCTAATAAATCTTCTGGATTCTTTTGGAAAATTGGCTTGAGGTTCACGATTTAATCAGGGCAGTCGCTGGAACCCTGACCCTACCCTCAGGTGCTTTGGAGAATAGCTTGACCCCCCAAGTCTTCTTTAGGGCAGCCCCTCAAATATGGGAACCCTGCTATCATGTCACCCCAGGGCTTTCATCAGACTAGACATACCCAATTCCAGCAACCCTTCTTTATATACTTTTAGCCTCTAGTCCCCTAATCTCTGCACTCTTTCTAGAGTCTCAACATCTTTTTTTACACTGCAGAGACCAAAACGGGATGCGGTATTCCAAGTGTGGCCTTACTAAGGCCTTACAAATTGGTATTAAATAAACCTGTGCCTTTGGATTTAGCAACCGCCAGACACCTGAATCTCCTCGCTTTGCCCATCGTATCAACCCTCCCAAAGCATGTCAAACCGAACGTGTCCCGTTTTCCATGCTACCAAGCTGGAAAAAAAAATGTGCTGGGGTCCTTTCCTTCTCCAGCAATACTTACTCCGCCAGACTGGAAGGGCGTCTTTTGCCCCACGGCTGGGGGCAAGGGAGTAATGGGGGCAGGCTGGTGGTAGACGGTCACCGTGGCCCCGTTGAAGGTGGGGCTGGACCCGGTGGCGGCTTTGACGACGCCGTTGGTGATGATTTCTTTGATCCGGTTGACAGCTCCTGCAAGGGCCGAAACAACGGCGTCAAACACACCGCACCCTGTACGTTCCCGTCGCTAAGCAGGTTGGTCATTAAGCGAGTCCTGTCTGATTTTACCATCTGGACGTGATGGAAACTGAGCCACTTGTCTCAAATTGAACAGTGGCTTTTCCCCTGCTAGCTTGGTTTAAGAGGGGCGGACTTCGACTCCCAGAATCCCCCAGCCAGGATGCTTTTAAGATATATGGACTTCAACTCTCAGAATTCCACAGCAAGAAATATGGATTTCAAATCCCAGAATTCTCCAGCCAGCCTGCTTTAAGACATGTGGACCAACTCCAAGAATTCCCCAAACTAGCATGCTTTTAAGAGGGAAGGACTTCAAGTCCCAGAATCCCCCAGCTGGGACGATTTAAGATATATGGAATTTTAACTCCCGGAATTCCACAGCCAGGATGCTTTAACACAAATGAACTTCAACTCCCGGAATTCCCAAGCCAGCATGGAGTGACCAAGCCACATCATCCACAGGATGCAAAAAAAAAGCCCCATTTTCTTTTCCTAAATGCTGATTTTCTGATTTTTGCCCACCGAATCCAAACAGAGTCGACTTACGGTCCACCAATTCTCTCGTCTGCCCTTGGACATGCAAATACAGAGGACGATCACTGAGGAGGGAAGAAAAAGGAAGGCATGTTTCATTTTTTTTTAAACAATCCGAAACCACGATTAAGGCTTCAGACACCGACGCTGAAAAGTGTCTTGCAGAGTTGAGAATAATGAGTTGTGGGACACTTGATTTATTTCTTTAAAAAGAGATAAAATAAAAGGCCGTTCGTACCCAGGGCCAACTTTGATTTTTTCTTCCGCAGTCATGTAGCGCCCCCGAGTGGAGACTGCTGCCCCACTGAGCTTGCTTATCTGCAGATATTGGAGGTGGGGGGGAGAAAGGGGGAGAAAATAACCACAATCAGCCATGCAAGAAAACCCCCAAATTCCTCCTAAATGTCTCTTTTGGGAAGGTGTTTCTACCAGACCCCTCCCAAATCAAGGAAGCTACAGTTAATTATTATTTTTGTGTGGCTTCTTTCTTAGCCCTTTAATATTTGAAGACTTCAACTCCCAGAATTCCCCAGCTAACTATGCTTTAAAATGGATGGACTTCAACTCCCAGAATTCCCCAGTCTATTTTAAAATGGGTGGACTTCAAACTCCCAGAATTCACCAGTCTATTTTAAAATGGATGGACCTCAACTCCCAGAATTCCCCAGTCTATTTTAAAATGGATGGACTTCAACTCCCAGAATTCCCCAGTCTATTTTAAAATGGATGGACTTCAACTCCCGGAATTCCCCAGTCTATTTTAAAATGGATGGACTTCACCTCCCAGAATTCCCCAGCCAGCAGGCTTTACGATGGGTGGACTTCAATTCCCAGAATTCCCCAGTCTATTTTAAAATGGGTGGACTTCAACTCCCAGAATTCCCCAGCCAGCAGGCTTTACGATGGGTGGACTTCAATTCCCAGAATTCCCCAGCTAACTATGGTATGCTTTAAAATGGATGGACTTCAACTCCCAGAAATCCAAGGAGGCCTGGCCCCCTGTTAAGCCTACCAAGCTGATATTATGGGAAATTAAGGCACTGCACAGCCTTAATTTGGATAGGGTGCCAGACCTCATCCTGCGTCTGTCCTCTTGTTAGGAGATTTCGGCATGTGAGTGGCACGTCGTTGATTTCCACTTCCGCCACCACGAGATCATCTTTGCTTTTGTTCGCCGAGAGACCTTTCCCTGGAGCCTGGAGCTGCCGAAGATCAGAAAGGGAGGAGGACAGAAAATAATGAGACTGGGAGTTCTAGTTCTGACTTAGGCACAAAAGCCAGCTGGGCGACTTTGGGCCAATCACCAGGAGGCGGTGAGTTCTAGTTCTGCCCTAGGGATGAAAACGGACTGGATAACTTTGGGACAGTCCCTCCCTCTCAGCCTAGCCCACCTTAAAAGATTATGTGGAAAATAAGAGGAAGGAGTATTAGATACGATCATTACGTTGAGTTACCCATAGAGTAATAAAAACAGGATAGAAATTGAATAAATAATAATAATCATCATCATCATCATCATCATCTTCATCATCATAATCTCTCTTAATACAATCTCTCCCTAAACCATGGTCTGGCATTTTCACACTGATGGCCATTTCCCATGTCACACGATCAAAATTTGGACCCTTGGCAAACAGGCTCACAGTTACGACGGTCGCAGCGTCCCGGAGGTCCCCTTTTGCAACTTCCTGACAAGCAAGGGTCAACGGGGGAAACTGGATTCACTTCACTAACGTAACTGCAGGGGTTCACTTAGTGACGGAGGCAAGGAAGGTCGCAAAATGGGGCAAAACTCACGGAGCCACTGTCTCGCTTAGCGACAGAAACGTTGGTCATAAGTCGAGGACTGCCTTGACGGCAGGCACACCCAAGGGAGAAAACCCGCCTCCCTAACAGCTAACCTTGTCTGCGGAGTTGGCCGAGGGCTTCAGCTTCCCTTTTGCCATCAACATGGCGTTGATTTTCGCGGCCACCGCCGCGGCGGCATCCAAGGCACCCAAAGGAGCCGCTGAGCCTTCGGACCCCGACATCCCGTCTCCGCTGCCCTGCATGGGGCGGCCGGCCACAGGGGTGGTAGCAGGAAGGAGGAAGAGAGCTGGCGAAGGCCCCGGCTGGTCCCATTTGCTCCGACGCCTGGAAATTAGAAAAATAAATAATAAATCTATGTCTATAAAAGCGAAGTGCCCCTCACGCATCATCACAAAATCTGCAGCACCGTAAAGCCTACAAACTTGAAATTGGGCCCGTATTTTCCTCTTGGCTTCTAGGGGCTCACTAAGAAAGGATTTTTCCAAATGACCATCAGAGCATTTAGAGTATTTCCTATATTATTATTATTATTATTATTATTATTAATATTAACACGCTCTGATGCTAAGGAGTTCTACTCCACCTCCCCACCTGGAAAGAAATCCAGATGCAAAACACAAGCAGAGGAGTTTCAGTTTCAGTGCACCAAGCAGCTTTAGTCCAGAACAGTTGAGCTAAGCCATGCCCAGGCTCCTTGCTGTCTCCATCTTGCTCACACAGCAAATACTGTTTCACTTTCCAAACAGCCTTCACCTCTCTCACACACTGACAGGACGCTAGCCAGATGAATGTTGGTAGGCAGAGGTAGATTTTTTTTCTCTCCTTATTTTCCTCCCCAAAAACTAAGCCTGATCACATAGTTTTGCAGCGAAAAGCTAGGCCTTTTATTTCTCAAACCTCCTTCCTGCTTTTGACATTCTGGAACACTTTTGCATCTGTTCTCTCTAATCAGAACCTGTAATTCTGCTCCGTGACCGTCGTAGCATGATAAGTTTTATATCAAAATATTATTTTACTCGTTTAATACTGTTTCCATCTTCCCTTAAAATACGAACCAAATCCACCATGGGATTTAGAATCAGTGTGTCCCCTAGATAATTTGACAGTCAAGCCGAAACTATATTAATCAAGCAAAAATAGCAAATGGGGAAATTCCTTTAATTTCCTCAAAGCCCCTCCCCTCAAATAAGTAACCCAGACCCAATCCACATATCAAAGGGTAAGGTTTGCAAACACGGAGTTAATTAAATTAGTTCTCCCAGAGGAACTGCATGTTCACAAGAATAAACATACCCACACACACACAAACGCTCCTCAAGGATCACCCTAGAATCATCAGGTGGCACCCTGGTCAAACTCCCCCTATAAAAATCTGCGGCTGTACCCCCTTTTTCGGTAGCCTGCCCTTAAAAGCTAATCGTTTTGCTTTTAGGCATAAATATTTCTCCTTTCCTCATAGTTGTCTGGATCTCATTTTTATTTATTCTTGTGCAACCCCGAGATGGAACCCCAAATTCTTCTTCGGACAATAGGTTGAATTCAGATATATGGATAAATCCAAATTAAAAACTATGGATCTGTAGTTTTTAATGGTTTCTTTTTGCAGTTCATGGTTGTTGTTGTTGTTGTGAGTTTGGAGGGAGACCAAACCAGCAACTGAACGAAGGACCAGGAACAAATAATTCTCACCCATCCTTTTGTTTTTTGCTTCAAAATCCTCCTTTTTCGGCCCACCCCAGAAATGAACCCTGGAAACAGTCCTGCAGGTTTTCAAGGAAGAGCCAATGAGGCAGTTGCGGCTGGAGAGCGAATCAAAAGCCGGGCCCCTTGAGGCACTCCACCAATCAGAGGAGAGAGCTTGAGTATAAAAAGGGGACACGGCTGAGGGAGAGGGTCAGATCCCTCAGGGACACTGTGAGGGAAAGAAGAGAGAAAGGAAGAGAAGAGGAACAGAAGAAGCAGAAAGGAGTCACAACTCCTGAGGCAAAAAGAGATGAAGGTACTGCCCACCTCAGGAGCCCAGAAGGGGGAAAAGAAGACTCAGAAGGAAGGTAGCTCCTGAGGGGAAAAGGGGCTTTTGAAGTCTGTTGGAGCCTCAGCAGGTGGAAAGGAGGCCACAAGCAGCCCTGAAGCTGAAGAAAACTGGGCAAAGAAGATCCAGAAGGAAGCCCCAATTCCTGAGGGAAAAGAGTTGAATCTGCCACTCACCTCAGAAAAGGAGCAGAAGACCTAGAAGGAAAAGCAATTCCTGAGGGAAAACTTGGTACTTCAGGAGGTGGAAAAGAGGCCAAGCAGCCCTGAAGCTAAAGAAAACGGGGCAAAGAACACCCAGAAGGAAGCCCCAATTCCTGAAGAGAAAAGAGTTGAATTTGTCACTTACCTCAGAAAAGTCCAGAAAAGGAGCAGAAGACCCAGAAGGAAAAGCAATTCCTGAGGGAAAACTTGGTACTTCGGGAGGTGGAAAAGAGGCCAAGCAGCCCTGAAGCTAAAGAAAACGGGGCAAAGAAGACCCAGAAGGAAGCCCCAATTCCTGAGGGGAAAAGAGTTGAATTTGTCGCTTACCTCAGAAAAGTCCAGAAAGGGAGCAGAAGGCCCAGAAGGAAAGGCAGCTCCTGAGGGAAAATGTTTGGCACTTAAGGAAGACAAGCAGCCCTGGAGCTGAAGTTGAGTGAACCTAAGAGGATGAAGAGAAGCTTGGAAGATGAAGATGAGGAAGAAGACCAAGTGAGGAGACCGAAGCCCTTTCAAGCTCCAGAAGGCCCCGAGAACAGAATTTGGGGACAAAAGCTGCTGCTTTGAGGTAAAAGAGAACAAAAGCGTTGAAATCTGAAAACCTCAAGAGGCCAACAGGATAAGAACAGAAGTCTGGAAGACAGGAAGAAATGCACCTCCAAAAGGCCACGAGGGCAGAATTTTGGGGCGAAAGGCCGCTTTGAGGCAAGAATAAAAAAGAGCTGAAGTCAAGACCTGTTCGGAGGGGTGTGTGAGTTTCCTGAGGAGAAAAAGAGCTGAAGTCCTCCTCAGCCAGCTGGGCTAAACCAGAGTTCCTCTGAAGGAGGGTGACAATGAAGCAGGTTGCAAAAGTATAGTGTGTGTGTGTGTGTGTGTGTCAATTTGCACACAAACATAAAAGCCCTTTCCTGCACTGTCTGACCTGTGGCTAAAAGGTTTCATTCCACACATATCAAAATAGAAGAGATAGAGATGGTTGGTTAGTAGGTAGGTAGATTAGATTAGAGAGAGATAGGAATGATAGATGACAGATAGATAAGGCAGGAAAGAAGGGATAGATAGAAATGGATGGATGGATAGTCAGAGAACATAGAATGATTGACAGATAGGTTGATTGATAGATATGATAGAGTGGATAGAGACAGAATCGGATGAGAATGTTAGAGAACAGAATGACTGATAGATATGCTAGATATAAGAGTGGATAGACAGATGAGAATGATAGAGAAGATAGAATAATATAAGATACGAATGATAGAATTAGATAGATGGATAAAGGTACATTGTTATTAGAGATGTGCTAGAAGTATTAGGATAGACAGATACAATAGATAGGACAAACACAGATACAGATAAGACAGATGATAGATAGAATTCTTTATTGGCCAAGTGTGATTGGACACACAAGGAATCTGTCTTGGTGCAAATACTCTGAGTGTACATAAAAGAAAAGAGACATTTGTTAAGTCAAGAATCATCAGGTACAACACTTAATAATAGTCATAGGGTACAATAAGTAATCAAATCATACTAGGAAACAGTCAATAAATAGAATAGAGTAGAATAGAATAGAACAGAACAGAAATTAATGGAATAAAATAGAATCTTTTATTGGCCAAGTGTGACTGGACACACAAGGAATTTGTCTTGGTGCAAATACTCAGTGTATATAAAATAAAACATTCCTCAAGAGTCAAGAATCATCAGGTACAACACTTAATGATAATCATAGGGTATAATAAGGATAGAATAGAATAGAATAGAATAGAATAGAATAGAAATTACTGGAATAGGATAGGATTCTTTATTGGCCAAGTGTGATTGGACACACAAGGAATTTGTCTGGGTGCAAATACTCTCAGTGTATATAAAAGAAAAGAAACATTCCTCAAGAGTCAAGAATCATCAGGTACAACACTTAATGATAGTCACAGGGAGCAATAAGCAATCAATAGATAAGATGGAGATATAGAAAGGCAATTGAGCTATAACATAGATACTAGATGAACTAAGTAATAGAAAAGGCAATTGATATAATAACACAGATAATAGATGAGCTAAGTAATAGACTGATTAAGAGAGAGAGATGACTGATACAAATAAATAGAATATCGATGGATGAAGATAGGGCAGAGTTCAGCAAGGATCCCATTCAGTTGCTCCAACTCTGCCATTTGTCTTCGGTGAACAAATAACATTTATTATTCTTAAATTCTTTCCTGCTCAGCAACGCCCTCCACGAGAGTCTCACCCTTCAGGGCAACCCCCACTGAACTGACACAAAATTGTTGGACTTTCTCCACTCCCCCCCCCCCCATTTTCTGGCGCCCCCTCCTCCCTTTCACAGTCCCCCCACCCAATTCCCCCCCTTCTTTACAGGTTTTTTTGCCGGGGGGGGGCAAGTTGGGGAAAGGGGGATTCCCACGATTCTTAGGGGGGTCTTGGGTAAGGGTCGCCCGAGGAAACTATATATCATATCAAATTTATACCATCATTATAAAATATATAAAGTAGGAAGGGGGATAATAGGGGCGGGGGTCAGCTAAAAAGGGCTGGGGGGGGGGGAAGAAAAGGGGGCCGGGGCTGATGGGAGTTGTAGTCCCTTCCCGGAAGGCCCAGCGGGCCCCGCTCGGGCGCTGTGTTACCCGGCCTCCGCCCCCGATTCCTCCCTGCCCGGGCGCCTTCCTCACCCGCCCGAGGCCCCCGGCTCCCGCTGCCCCGAGCCGCCCGCTGACATGGCTGAAGCCGCCGCCGCCGCCGCCGCCGCCTCCTTCGTGGAGAAACTTCCCCTCTGGCGTCACTTCCGCCTCTTCGGTGGCGTCACTTCCGGGAAAGGGTCGCCTGAGAAACGGAACAGCGCGCGGAATGCAGACAAACTACATCTGGTTTAATAATAATTAAAAAAAAAAGGTTAGAGGGATACGCGCGCTCAGATTTCCGGGTTCCGGTTTTGGCTTTTTTTTTTTAAGCGCTGAAGGGAGGGAAAGTGAGGGGACGGAATCAAGATTTAAGGACAAAATCAAGATTTGAACACGGTTGGGTGCACATTCAGGAGAGGCAGAGGATCCCTATTCCTCTTTAACGCGATGAAAAACGAGTTTAAAAAATGAAAATGAGTTTAAAAAGCATGGACTCCTTTTAAAAAAATCACTTTTGCACTCTTTTTAAAAGCTCTCAAGCGGAGACTCCCCCAAACTCCCCTAAAAAGTTAAATGTACCCCAATGCCACTCCTTCCCATCTGTATATCTGAAACGCGGGCCCATATTTCCAATATTATTTTTCCTCAGACACATAACTGGAAGTGCTCTACACTTTCCTATATATCTATGCCGCAGGCCGGTCTGCACATCCGGCTCCTTGTCTCGCGGGGTGGATGGGATAGAGAGGAAGAGGGGTAGAACGTCGCTCTTTGGATCACGTGACTCCCTGCTTCCCGGGCTTTGGGGCACGTGCTCTGCTCCCTCCTGAGCCCAACCCTCCCGAAATAAAAGAAGGAAAAAAAGAGAAATATTCCGATTTTTATTCCCAAACCAACCTCAATGATATATCTAAAACAGTGTTTCTCAATCTGGGCAACTGTAAGACAGGAGGACCTCAACTCCCAGAATTCCCCAGCCAGCATATTTCAAGATATCCTCTATTTTTTTTAAAAAAAAAAAAAAGAGAGAGAAAGAAAATAGAATATATTCTGCTTTCCCACCCAAGAAAAGCCATACTAAATAATACCTCCAAAGCAATGTTTCTCAATCTTGGTTACTTTTAAATTTGGGGGACTACAATTCCCAGCATGCCCCAGCTGAAATCCTAGAATGGTCCAGTTAAACTCCCAGAATGCCCCAGCCAGCATGCTGAAATTGAGGTCTATAAACATTTTAAAATTCCCAAGTGTGACAAAAAACATTGGTTCAATTCAATCTGCTTGCTGGTCAGGGGTGTTCTGGGAGTTGAAATCCACCCAATTTAAAAAGTAGCCAAGATTGGGGGGAAAAAATCTCATTTAAACCATTTTCTGCTTTAAAATTTGTCGTTTCCCACCTCCAAATGCAACAAGACTTCGAGAAAAGCAGCCTGCAACGCAGGGCCTCAATTTTCAGTATTTTGTTCCTCTTTGAAGAGGTAAGAAATGAAAATTAAACTCTGCTATAATAGCAGGAAAAGTCAATCTAATCTCAATATCCTTTCT